TGACAGACAACCACCCGCAACAAGACACCAAGACCATCCTACACATCCTCCAGCACCTCTTCAAGACTCTCGACAGCCAAAGCACGCCTGCCCACTGGCACCARCAAGCACACCASCAGCTTCTCAACAAGCTTAACCATCACATCCAACATCTCCAGGAATGCCTCAAGGACGCCACCACGCCTTCCACAAGCCAAGGGCCCCGCAACTCCCGCCTCGCCATCAACACATACTTCCGGCGCATCCAGGACTTCCTCCGCACGCACAACCACAGCGCCTGTGCCTGGGACATCGTCCGCCTCCAAGTTCACACCTGCTTCCAACACATCGACCACCTCACCCGCGCCATCATGGACTAGCCGCACACTCTCCGCACGCACCACCACACACCCYTCACCAACACACCCGCACTGCCTCCCCTGCCCACACAACAGCCACACCAACCAGCCTCCGCCGACACCAACGCACACAGCCACGCACCACCACMACCGTGCTCACGTCCCCTCCCTCCACACCTATTTATTTAACTTATTCTATTTATTCGCATTATTCTATCGACCTAATTTATTCTTCTATTTATTCAAGCAAATAAACATCTGCTSTAAAAACACCGCGTCCGKCTCATGGCCTTCACAAAACCACAGCAGCCTCATTCCAGTGCAAAGCCAGCGCCAGGGCTCACTTAGTCCAGCTCACCCACGCAGGCAGCTGCCAGCACCTTGAGCTGCTCACCGATGGCTCCACATCACTCGGCGGCCCCTTCTGCAGGGCATAGCACCTTTAAACGATTGCACACTCAAGATACTTCCCCTGTCCTTATTGAAGTTGAGGAGATTCCTACCTCACACCTTTGTAAGTTGTTCACCTTTTCATTTGTATGGATACATCTCATCTTCAACACTGTGGTCTATCCTGACCAAAGGAATCAGCATGTGACCATAAATGACCGAGGCTCTCGCATTCCAGTGAACACTTACCTGCTTTTATATATCTTTTTTTCCGTTTTTTTTCTTTTTTTTTTTTTTTTGGGTATTTTCACAGTCCCCAAATATCTCTTGTTTATAACTTGGAGTGAACGTTGTAAATAAATTGACCTCATTAAAAAGTAGGACATACCACAGCAGTCACAGGTATCTTTTGCCCCCATAAAAGACTTTCACCTGATGAAATATTCACCACCCTATCAACATCATATAGGCCGCAAGATGCAGCTCCACCATGCCACCACCAGTGCTTTCCTCCTATCAAACTGTAGATTCGCTGACAGTCTCTCACAGACACTGCAGCATGGGTAATTCTACTCTTCTTCTCAACTCAAGACAGGAGAAACTCCAGATGTTGACAAAGTTGTGATTATATCCTCTTCCTGATCCAAGAAAGCTTACCTGAATCTTAATCAATTTTCTTTGGATGTATATTGTCTCATTAACTGGAGCCTCTTTTTCACTACTGCTGTATTTCTGGAAGTTTTTTTCTCCTCTTAATAGGGCATAAAACAACAGCATGAAAGTCTCCACCTCATCTCATTAACCGTTCCCTTTTACAGTAAATAACACGTAAAGAATTTGCGAACACAAAAAGGCAACAACTTTCCTAACATTTCCCCACAAATGTGTGTGTGGCAGGGGGACAGGCACAAGATCACAAACATGCTGTTGGATACTAACACCTCTAAATAGATACCGAGATGCCCCAAGCCAGTGGTTCTTCTGCCTTCTAAGATGTTCTCCAAGAAAAGGGGCACCGTTTACCTACCCACTCTCTCTGCAGCCTGGAAAAGTCCACAGCTCTCCCACCCCCATCCCAGTTGCTCACAAATACTGTGCACACCATCTTGATTTGCATGCTTGACCTGCTTCATCTGCACTTCCTAAGAAGTCAAAACTTCCCCACAGCTCTAGTACAGCTTATAACCTTGTCTTTAACAAAACCTTCCTAACATGTTCATATACAGACCCACAGAATGGTTGAGGTTGGAAGGGACCTCTAGAGATAATCTAGTCCAAGCAGGGACACCTAGATCACATGGCTCAGTGTGGCATTCAGGTGAGTTTTGAAGACTTCCAGAGAAGGAGCCTCCAGAGCCTCCTTGGGCAGCCTGTTCCAGGGCTCTGTCACCCTCACAGTGAAGAAATTCTTCCTCACATGGAGATGGAACTTCCTTTGTTTCAACTTGTAGCCATTGCCCCTTGTCCAGGCCACCGAGAAGAGTTTGGCCCCTTCCTCCCTACATTCTCCCCTTGTGTATTTGTACATGTTGATAAGATCCCCTAAGTAAATTTATGATCACTTTTCTGTTTTGTGGGAGAAAATACCTGACATAGAACCAAGAATTTATTCCTAACATTTTTTTTCAATATTAGCCCATTATCGTTTTTATCATTTGCAGTTTTTCTTTTGTTTAATCTTAACCTCAGTACGCTCCTGTTTGCACGTTGTTCCTGTCTCCCTATCTTAAGATCATTAAGAGAAATATTTTCGTCTATAAGTTTAAGTCTTAGGTACCTACGGGGCGTGAGGGGACTTTAATACCAATATCCTCATTTCCCTAATTCATCATGGAATCTCTTATTTGTTTTTAACAACTTTATCACAACTTAAGTTAACTCTTGACTGTATTTTTTTTTTCGGCCATCCATTACTCTTCTGGAACTGATACCAACTTGCCATGTCTTCATTTAGCCAGGTCTTTTATTTCAACATGGAGCTATCTCCTCTCTCTGGAACTTTTTCAGGTTTCAGAACTTTTGCTAGGAAAAAAAGATATCCCCAAGAAGTTTTCAGTCATGTTACTTATCATTCATTTCCAAGTAATCCAGCAATACGGGACCCTGACTTAAGACCAGCTACAAATATATGGATAACTTCCCAGTAACAGCAAGGCCAGCTTTTCATTTTTATCTTGTAATACAATTAGGAAACTTCTTATGAAGCCAAACCTTACCACCTCTTCCACATTTTTTTTTTTTATCTTCTTCTGCTATTTTATTTATTCCTAGCTTCCAAACTATGCCCACTATTAAAATATTGTGTTTCATTTTTAATGCAAAAATCAATGAATATTTTGTACTAAAAAACTATTTTAGTTTACATTAATTCATTATCAGATGTTAACTACATTTTTCATTTTGCTTGCTTCAAATTGAAAATTTGGCCTTAATTTCTTTTAACTTGATTGTTTAACTTGAAAAGATTCAACCTTAGCTGCATCATTATTGCTTTTGCCTGATTTTCCTTTGATTTTTAGTCCACAGAGTAATTCAAATGAACTTGAATAATGAATTTCTACTTGGTGCATATCACAGCTGAGTTCAGAAACTGTTGTATAATAGTTTTATATTCCAGCATGATGTGGCACTGATGTATGACTCCAAACTGACCAACTTAGTATTTCACTCACATGTCTCTCCCCCAGAGCGTCTCAGAGAGAAGAGTTAAGGAGCACTACTAAAAAATATCATGTATGAACAATTTGGCAAACTCTGCTTCATTGGAACAACTATAAAGGAGGATTCAAATTTATTCAATTTTGGTCTTCCAGTTGCAGCCCTGCCTTCCCAAGGACAACACAACGTTTTACATGTCCCTCTAGCCTTACATCCTTTAGCCAGTGGCACATTCCCCAAAGCTGTTTTTCTGGGATATGCAGAATATCCTAGAAAATATTCCCCTCGTAAGTTGTCTGAGCCCATCTGTGCATTGTGGCGTTAGGCTGTGGTACTGCATCACCTCCACCAGGAGCTACCTGAGAGTTACCTAAGGGTTCACCACCCTCAGAACCCTAGCAAGTCTGCAAGCTGCATCTCCCAGACCCAGGAGAACTGCCAATATATTGTTACTTATGAGCTCTCTGAAAGAAAACCCCATTTATTTTAGTAGATAATACTTCCAAGAATTATGTCTTCAGCAGGATGAAGATCTTCCAGGATGTGTTTTCTCTTCTCTTTTACCCCCCATTCATCCTTCCCCTCTTTTTCAGGATAAGCAACCAGACAGGACATCTCTCTATTCCATTTGACATCTTCACATGCATTTCACATTCTCAGTTCACGCAAGAAAGACTGGCTACTCTCTCTCTGTAAGCTCACTTGCTCATGTGGCATTTTTTTGAAGGGGACATGATGCATATGAAAAGGGAATACCTAAAACTTATCAGATATACACACTGACTGCATGCTATGCTTTGCTCTTCAGTCCTACTCCTTGCTAAGAGGCAGAGCCCATACTCAGATTACAAAGATGCTTGAGAAGATTTCATATTGCTGAGACAATCCAGAAAAAAAAAAAATCTCCACTGAACAGCAGAAAGTACACTTTTACTTCTGCTAAATCAATTTACAAGGTGGACAAATGCATGTAGCAACAAATCATTCTTCTTAAATTTTCATCACCTAAAGAAACTGAACCCAACAGAGTACGCAATCACCATCAAATTTGTATCGCACAGAGGGCCAACTCTGAAGGTATCTTGTTCTAAGTGAAAAACTCGAGACATTTACTTACCATTGGCAGCCTGGATTGAAGCATCTGGAGATCATCATAACCATAAATCTGCTTAAAGACAGATAAAAATACAACATCATTATAACACTTTTCTCTAACAGTAACCATTTCAGGGCTTTAAACTGAGCTTGATCTAGACACAGCCCCTTTTGGAGGTGCAAAGCTGTACTGTGCTATCAAGGAGCAGTGCAGTATTTGAAATGTAGTACAGCTTAAAATGGCTTGGCACCCTAATACTGTTTTTCATGACAGCAGAGCTCTGAACAGCATTTAACTTTCCAATGCTCAATATTGTTTTCAGGGATATGCCATTTACTAACTAGTGGAAAATTTACAGGGCATTCATATCTGGCAGTAAATGCAACAGCACTCTCCAATGCAATCACTACTTCCAAGAATATGATGATTTAAGATTTAGCAAGGCAGTCACAGAGAAGCCCACAGTTATCCCCCACATTCAGAGTGATATATAAAGAAAAACATAAGAATAAAGCTTCTGATTCAGCAAACAGGTGAATAAAAATATATTGAACTTGATCAGACATCAAGTAGTTATGTGTTTTAAAGCAGACAGGACTGCACATTTCAAGTGTAACTGCAATTAAACTATTCCAGCAAAAAGAAAAAAAAAAAACACACAACCCAAAACACATATAACCAACCAAACAGAACTGGCTAAAAGGGTCAAAAAATGATTACACTGAAAACCATATCAAAACATACATTCAGTTTCAACAACAGCCAAATCAAGCCTGTTTTGAAATGTGCTATCAATAGTAAATTCCCACTGACCAATTTCACACACTCTTCACGAGCTGGAACAAGGATTCCAGATGCAAAACGTCCCAACACAAATGCCTTGGCATAGACAGCAGCAGGTCTGGAGGGCCTCCTTGTAGCAAGGGTTAAGTAATTAAGGACAGGTACAATTAAATTGCTTACTGGGTAGGCAGGCAGAAGTCCTCCAGGTCCCACAATATACTGGTTATGCAACAAGGGTGGTACACCTTGGGGCAGGTTTGGGGGAGCTTTGCCTGTAGAACCAAAACACAGAGACTTTAAAAAGCCTTTAAGGGAGAGGAAAAAAAAAAAGAATGAAGAAAAAGGAATAAAGAAAAAGAAAAAAAGGGCTTCAGTCTTGAGATGGAGCTCATGAGCCCTCACAGATGCATTATCACAGCTTCTAAAGAGCACAGTCACATAGATGTTAATGCTACTTCATGAAAATGCTTAAACATCCTGAGAAGTTGACTCATATCTCAAGTATGGGAAAGTGCATGTTACTTTAGATTGAAAGCAACAGTCCCATCAGAACAGTCTGATTTTATAATTAATTTCATCTGAGAGGATTACAAGAATTACAGGACTTTTCCTTTCCTTGGTCCTCTCTTGACAGTAAAATTGTTCTTAATGCAAGACAGCAAATTACCTACTCTGGCTTTTGCTCCATTCACACATTCCTCCCTTGTCCCCATCACCAGAAAGCAACTAAATCCTGTCAGCACACTGTCTACAGGTGACTTATTACAGCTAGGAAAAGCAAAGAGAAGACTGAGGCAGTTTCAGTCGCATCCATGAAGCACTGGTAGAAAGCAGAAGGGTAAAAATGTGCTTTGTTTTGCCAGTTATCAGATGCTTCACTTATAAAACGTGGGAAGGGGAAAAGAAATCCTTAAGTTTATTTTTAATATTTAAATCTTTACTTTCCCCCAAAGGATTTTTTTTCTTTTAGCACGGTTCCCACTTCAGTGCAAGAAGCCTTCACCACCTTCCTTCTCTGTGGATATCCTTTCCTGCTGCAAACACTTTCCAAAAGTGGCATTTGCTGTGGCATGACCCAGACATCAGATACCTTTTTCCCCCCTTCTGTAAATGTGTCGGTAGGGATGTGATGTATGATAATGAGGACACTGCAGTGAATTTTGATATTGGCAAATGAATTCAAGTCACAGAAAACACTGAAATTAAAGCAAAAGTGATCTCACGCCAGGAGCCGATGACAGCCTAGAATACAAACTGGACAAATTTACTAGTCCAAAGCTTACTAAGTCAGACTTGCTCTGATGTCTTATTAGAAAGCTCTTTGGAGATGGAATGTGCTATATAAACACTATATAAGACCCTAACAAATATTTCAAATACACAAAAGCAGGCAACTTTATTTTTTATAAGCCAGCAAAAAAAGGCATGCTGAAAATGCTAGTCAAGATTGGATTTCTTAGTGTAGTTATTGCTGGTGAGATGCTCAACTGACAGCCCTGCAGACTGAAGTCCTCTATCCACGTGAGCTGTTAATATTGCGAACCTGAAGACACCAAGGGAGCTGCCCGCGTAGTAGCAGCTGGTATAGACACACTGGTAACGCTCAGGCCAAGGCTGTTTGTAGTGTTCATACTGCTGGCCATGCTGACAACCGAAGAGGTGGTGCTAGTGGCTGAGGTTGAAGCAGTTGAAAAGGTTGTTGAGGGCTGGAGCGAGGTGGTGTTCTCAACACTAGTGTGCTAGAAAGGAGACAAAAAGAATGAGGATCACACAGCAATTCAAGCACAGTGCAAGATGCTAGGAAAAAAAACCAACTTTAATTAACAGCAGCACATACAAGAGAATGTGCAACATAATATGCATTATCTGAATACAGGGTAAGCAGCTAAGTTGCATGCTTGCAATTTTCTCTTAAGTGTTCAAAGAAAACTATTACCGAGAGTTAAATTCAAACATCACAGTAACACACTAACTCAAATGTCCCTCTGTTGCATTACTTCTTTCCCTCTGATCGCATACTCCTTTAAGCCACTCCTTATAATTTTATATCAACTCTTACATTCTTCCAAAAGTTAGTATTTGTTTTAAAATAGGACACCGTTATGAAGATTTCTCCAAGACATTTGCGAATTAAATTAAGAGATTAAAACTGAAATATCCTATAACGGGATCAATGCAGTAAACCAGAGAGATGTAACAGGAACATGTGAGTATAAAGTGTCTGGATTGAATCCAGCCCAACTCAGTGCCTTAACTGTAAGCTGATCACATTTGCAAAACAGTTATCATCAACACACAGGAGTCAAAACTGCTCTGGCCACAGTAAAGAACATTTGGATAAGTGAATCTAAGATACACATCCAGGAGGAATAGAACATGACAAACTGAAATACAAAGGAAAACCTGGCTCACACTAACTTATCAGTGTGCTCCAACCGGATTTGTACAGAGGCATCCCAACACAAAACCACCCAGCAGTGTGTGTCATCTAAATTTGTGCAACCTCCCCTACAGCAACCTATTCAACACCATTTGTCTCATCTCAATTACATCAAATACACAGGTGATAGCAAAATCATATTTTTAATAGATATGCTACAGAAAAAAAACCATACTCCCTCCCCCTGCTTGGAATGGAGATTTCTTCTGCAGCTGTGCAACAGGCAAGTGTCTGCAGCAGTTATTCACAACGGAGCACAAATCACAACCAGCAAAGAATCTTTTTGCCACTAGATGGCTGGCAGTGTTCCCTCTCCCCTGAGACAAAGCTCTCCTCTAAGTTCTTGTTGTACTGGGACACAATGAACATTTAGAGAAAGTCTTAATCATCAGATAAAACGACCACATGACAAACTTCTGCTGAAATGCAAGCGGGACTTACTGCATGTGATGTGCTTGAAGACAACACTGAGGCAGGGGAGAGGCTGCTCTGATGATTGGAAAGGGAGCTAGAAAGAAATTGTAAAGAATTAGTACAATCAACTTATTCTGGACTCAATTTATATCTTAAGCACACTTACAAAGTATATACACATTTTTCCCTTTAACCAATTACTTCCTTACTTGAATAGTCAACCATTAATTACAACATAAAATAAATAGGCTGCCAAAAGAGCTAATATGCTAATATTATAAGGGCTAAAATGCTAACATGCTAATATCTGACAACATTGCAATAAACCTTGTGATGAAAACCTAACAGATTACTCTCCTATTTATCAGTTTATTGCATTTTTTAGAAAATCAACAGTCTCTCCAGAAATTACACAGCAATGCCAGGAATGATTTAAAACCCCAAATCAGAAGAGTGCATGAGAAGGAAGCTCACACAACACATGGCTTCTCATTCTTTCCCTAAGTAACTATCACTGGCTGCCACTGAAGACAAGTACTAGCTGAGGCTGTGCCTTGGTTTCATTCCTTGTGTTGTTTGATTACTTTAATCTGCATGATACTGGTTCAACCAATAAGCACTATAGGGTATCTGCCCCATAAGCGTGCCAAGAGCTCTAACACACACACAAAAAATGATTAAAACCCCATCAAATAAATATCRTATGTGAAAGCAGGAAAACTGGACCACTACAGAATCTGACAAGAAGTAATTTCCTCATTTAAAATATGAATTGGAACCACCAGTTCGGTCTTATATGTACAGTGCAAAATGCCAAAATAAAGAATCCACTGCTGAAAGTCATCCTCAGACAACTAGTTTTAAGAAGCATATCTAGATTTAGCACCACCTTTTCCCCTATAAACTTGAGGTAACAGCACAAACATTCATCTGTTATCTCAAGACCATTAAATGTCTCTTTGTATGATGACTAAAATTGATTCTTTAGGTGTTCAACAAGCACTTCCTCATGTGAATCAGAAGCAAGAGAGATCTTCAACACAAGCATTTTATTATTTTCCATGAAAACAGCCATAAGAAAGCACCCCTTTGTTTATATCAAAGCTTCAGACTAAGTGGTATTCCCTAATTTAACAGCAGACACTTCTGGTGTCTGCTGTTAAGGATTAGGTTAAGGTTAAGGATTGGTCCAAGTCCTGGAAGCTTCACACATCCTTTTCATTATGAGTCTTTAAAACTGTGCCCCATCTGCAGGAATCAGGGTGCTACTATGGCAGGTAGCAAGCAAAGAAATGGTTTAGTCCAACATGTGGTTCTAAAGCATTCTCTCACTCAATTCAACATATTTCTCTTCTAAGACACCTTAATTCATTATCTGACCTATTGCAGATACTCAGGTAAGAGCTGTCAGCAAAACGGTCAGACATGGTTGGTATTCAGGCATCACCCTTTCATGTCAGTTAGCATCTGGTCCCCTCCCATAGCAACAACCCTCCAATAAAAATTCCTACCAATATACTGAGTTTTTCAAAAAGTGAAGATGCAAAGACTTGATGTTTCTTAAGTGAATGCAATAATCCTCAAAATTTGAGGCATCTGCAATTCCATTCAAGAACAACAACAAAAACCCACTTGTATAAAAGGGAATCTAACCATGCCCCAGCTAGGAAACCGAGAAAAATCTGTGATACTCCACAGATTTCTTGGAATACCCAAATACAGCACAAAGGACAGTATTAAAAGCTACACCAACCAGTACACACTCAGGACGTCACATGCCTGAAGATACAGCAAAAATAACAGGCACTTAAAAAGAGATAATGGAGATGAGTTGTACTGAACTCACTTCCAACAGTAAGAATATGCTATTTGGAAATGTCCTAAGAAAATGTCTTAGACAAAAAAATCCACACACTGTCCTTAAGGAAACATTTCAGGTTTTTAATACAAACATGAATGAAATTGCAATGCTTAAAATTAGCCAGAAAGTAGACTGTTAAGGAATGATTTCAAATCTACAGTACTGAACAAACAGCAGGCATTTGTGGACAAAGAAAATAAAGTAGGGAATCAATAAACTGACTGGCGTAAAACTGAAGCAGGTTATCTTTGAAACACACAGTCTTTTATACACCATGAGAATGTGAGTGAAGCAGCTGCCACATCACTAAGACGAAGCCCAGGGTTAGCACTTCACAGCCAGAAACACCCTGATCTCTTTAACGACCTCCCCAGCTTCAGCTAACCGGTCAGGTGCCTCTATTCTCTGCCACTCCCCGTAGACAACCACGCTTGCCTTCGCCCTTGCCCCAAAATTGAGCTCCTTTCCATTTTCCCCAGCTCCTACTGTACCTGCTTAACTGGGAAAGTGAGCTGCTGGCCAAATCACTGGACTGAGGCAAGCTGGGCAACGGCGCCGAGTGCTGCGATGCTGAAGGCAGAAGCGAAGCAGTAGTGGACACCACGCTAGGCAGAGAACCAGCAGGAGGGAGGGAGGGAGAGGGCTCTGTCTTAGACGCTGGAACTGATGAAGTAGCTGCAATAAGTTAGAGAGACACATTCAGAGAGCGATTCCAGCACACCTACATCCCAAGACGGAGTCAGGAACACGGCAGTATTCTCCACTTGATCTACAGAAGCCTGATGGTTGAGACCAGTAACAACGTCAAACAGTCTGGCTATTAAAGAAAACTCAGACAGCAACAGAATTACATTTTTTTTCCCTTTAAGCTTGTCACCTACAACAGATTTATGATTTTTCAAAGGCACATAAGTGAACTGCAGTCTGTTTCCCGCACTTCACCTCTCATTAGCCGATTACTAACTTTTGCCCACAATTCATTCATATTCCAAAACTCCTGGCATTTCATTCCAGCTCCTCCCAAAAATGAAATTATCTGCAGTCTTCAAGGCACTGCACAAACCTACTTTTGCCTGTACCTTTGCTGCTTCTCTTCCCCTTATGCTGCACTTTACAAGTCTGAAATTTGGATTGCTGGAGTACAAGGGCATGTAAAACCCACCACTTTGGAGCACTAAGTCTAAAGTGCAGAACAGAAATGAGCTCCAATAAAAGGTTACATCAAATACAGCATTAAGCACCCTTAAGAGCCAAAGAATTGTCAAATACTGACTGACTTTACATGACTTCAATAGTAAGAAATGCTTAACATTGACATTATATTTTTGGCCTATATACAGTACAATCAATTTACTACAGACAGACCTTTCCAGAGGATGACGGTCTTCTAATACGACACTGCTACTCTACCACCACCCAGGGCAACTCCCCTGCTGTCCCTATGCAAATTTTATTTTTGCCCTCTGCAGAACACAGAATTAGAAGCACTTGCTCACCAATAAAACTCGGGGCGCTCTGCCTGATGCTGCACCAAGCTTTCACACAGCACCAGGGATCACTACCCAAGGGCTCCGCTAACTTGTATGCTTGGGAGGGTAAAAGCAGTCAGCTTCAAACAGTCAAAAGCCAAAGACAAGTTTGGGAGTGAAGCATCACTCTTCACATTATTGTTTGAGTTTTCTCCCCAGATGCCTCAAAGCAGGTTGCTGGATTAGATGCTATGCAAAAAGAAATCAAGAGTTCTTTGCCTTGGCAACAGGCATGAGGGTACAGAATAGGGAAGGAAATAACAGTGACAACAGCAAAAGCTTTGTCATGAGGCAGACAACTAAATAACTAAATCAATCCATACCTCCTGGCAACATCTATATAAAAATAAAGAAATAAATGACATTTACAGTTCTCAATATATTTAGACCAGAGATGATTTGATTACTTCCTGAAGTCAAAATAGACATCCCCTACTTTGGGGAATGAATTATTGTCTTCATTAAGAAACGTTATGACTGGACATGAAGTGCAATACAAAAGATACAGAAGTATAAAGAAGTGGAACAACAGTCGTGCTTTGTATGACTTCAGTTTTAGAGAGGATGAGGTCTGGATACTAAAGAACAATAGCAAAGATGAGAGATGAAAAATATTATTAACAAAGGAACATAGATAATATTATTAGAAGGCACAGAGAAAAGTGTAAAAGTCAGTACTTTTAAAAAGTAATAAAAAAGAGAAGGTTCAAGATAGTTTGGATATGTAAAAGAGAGACATGGAAGAAGGCAGGTTCATGCTTACAGGCTTGAGATACAGAAAAAGAAGAGAAGTCAAAAGAGAACTGGCATAGAAAAGGAAAATAAAGGAAGCTCTCTTACAAAGTAACTACAAAAATATTAGGAATTCTTGAACTTCATTTTCCATAGCAAAAAGGTAAGTCAGTCCTGTAGTGATTTTCAGCACCTTACTTATTATTTCTGTGCTTGAAAGAAAAACTTTTCCATTTGAAAAGTTCTCTTGCATGTTACAATTTCTTTTAAGAGGGAAGTTGAACAGAAGCAGGTGCTAAGGGAAAAAGGGTTTACAGGTTTGAATACTCAAGTCCTTTCCACTCATAAGCTAAAAAGAAAAGAAAAAAAAAAAAAGGCTGCCCAAGTTCTGACAACTGAGGAGATGTTTAAGAGGACAGATTTAATACTGGAGTGTGAGAATTTCTTAAGATACTAAAACTTCTGGAAATTTCCATATAGCTTCGCATAAATGCCAGAAGGACAAAAGCTGTATTTTAATTATTTTAACTCCAGGAAGAGAGCGCTAGGGGCAGTAGAAGTAAAGCAGCACACTAAGAACAGGCCAAAACCAAGGAAACAATTACCCCTCTGTCAGAACAACACTGTAATGCTTCCACTGCACTGCAAGGCAGAGAGCCACCCAGCAGAGGGAGCCTGCAGGGCTGCAACAGGGCAAAAGCAGCACTACACGCAGGAGAAATCCTCTAAAAGGATGTGGCTTTGCTTCATTTCCTAAGCTAATCACAGCTTTTCAAGGGGGAATTGGAAACATGGGTAAATAATTTTATGTATGTATTTATGTGTGTATGTGTACGTATATAATACACAAATTTTGGACAGAGGAATTCCAATGGAAGTGGGAAAACTGTGGTTAGCTTTTCCAACACTAAGACTGCCCAGGACTGCACATTTGAGTATATATTTAATAGGGCTAATTCTATAGATTAGTAAGAGGCAGTTAGCAAGCTGTACATTCTTCGCAACTACAAAATGAAACCCAAATTGGTCAAAGATAAAGGGCGAGAACTGCACAAAACCCTCAAGCAGGTATCACTGTTACTACTTGTGCGCGTAGCATGTGGTAGGGAAAGGTCAGAGAGAGTCCTGTGTAAAATGGAGCTTTGTAAAAACTTACTGTCAAGAGTTGGCTGTGTTCGAACACCACTGTGCCCATTCTGTAAGCAAAGGAGAAAGGAGTAAGTCACCTTAGAGAAGGATATTACATTTTCAGACTGATTCACACATACAACATGCTTCATGCAAAGTTCTACGTTCACTCTCAACTTAAAGACAATAAAGGTAGGAAATTAACTTGTTGCTACCTTTAACAAAACCACATAATAAACTTGTCTCAGGTGCAAGGTGTCCTGCACGTACAGAACCCCGTACACTGCCCAAACTACGCCCATCTGAAAGAGACTTGCCCATGTATGGTATACAACATAAACTGCAGGTTCACACCGATATGCAAGAAAGAGAATTGCGTTAACATATAGGAAATGGTTGTGCTTTTGATCTAATGCAACTCACAATTTTAACTATCCAAGTTACACAGAGACGCCAAAACGCCATTTTTTTCCATTGAAAGATAAGACTTGAGAAGCACCAGGTGTTTTTTGGATAACGCTGGAGTACAGAAGTGGATAGTCTATGCTTGATCCTCACCAGTACATACGAGCTAGTACAGAAGACAAGTGTGACTGAGCCATTACATATCAAAGGCCAGATGTAAAAAATAAAATAAAAAAGCTTAAATTCTCACAAATTCCTTAAGCATTTAATAAATTAAGTTCTCTTAAAAGCAAGCCTGCAGTCCTTACACAAAGCGAGTAGGTGTTTTTGAATGCCTCCAGAGAGAGAGAAATAGAGAGATTCTCTCTACCCTAGATTAGATCTCCCATATGCTTTTTAAAATAAAACATGAAACTAATTCCCACTGGTGTTCTAACTAGCAAGAAAGCAATGCTGCAAGAACAACAAACAGTTCTGGATCCATTTGCTAGGTCCATTTGCCATATAAACTTAATAAACAATGTTACCTTTGGAGAAAAACTGTCAAGATGTGGCAAAATACCGTGACTAGTATTTATACAGAGAGGCCCGTCCTTAAAAGCTAAGCTTTGGGAGGAAGAAACTATACTAAAATTGTAGGTATTACAAGAAAAAAAAAACAATAAAAAAATAAAGTCAGACAGCAATTTAAGATGACAAAACCTGTAAAATCAGAGGCTACTGAATACCAATTACAGGACAGCAAGAGAACGGCTGCATGGTAAGCAAAGTAAGAACAGAATGGCTTGGGAATCAAACATGTAGCTTGGCTTGGTTGAAAGTGTTAAGATAACAAGGTAATCCAAGTCTAACAGGAATAACAGGAATATTTAAACTCATTTCAGGGTCTTATTTTTGAAATTTACTCACCGTAACAGCAACGGGGGTCGGTTCAGACGGAGCCATGGAGCTTTGGTACGCTATCCTACTATGCACAGAGTTCTGCTCATAGGAGGAAGTTGTTGTTACTGGGCTAGTGCTCTGGGATGAGCAGGTCAGACTGGAAGAGGTGATGGCAGAGGTTGTGTAGGTGGACTCCTGTACTGTATTGGATATTGGCAAAGAGGTATTCAAAGGATCACTGGAAAAAGTAAAAGTTATTGATCATCTTGGTAAATGTCATCTCAAATACCTTCATGAAAATATCAGCTCCTATACAACTAATAGAAGCATGTAAAATATATTAAAATATATTAAAATATTAAAAGTCTAATAATGTAAAAGCTGTTATTTTGCTTTGGGGGATCGAACGCCATAATCCAACTTTTTTAAACAACTACGTCCACAGAAATCTGCTGTATGATGAGACTAATCTAGTACTAGAATTCTCCTGCAAGAGACTGTGGCAACAGTATAAAAATGAGCTACATACAGAAGAAAAAATACTCTAAAAATATACAAGTCTTTTGCTTTCTAAGTAGCTTAAATAATATATGAACTATAAAATCAAATTCATGTTTATAGTATTTTTGATAAAGTTTTTTTTTTTTTTTTTTTTTTTTTTTTTACTGAAAGAAGTTTTTTAATGAACAAACAAGCAAGTCTTATCAGTATGGTGGTATTTACCATCAGCAGTTATGGCATTTAAGTTAGAACTTCTGCATACTCTTTTCTCATCCTATTGGAATATTAATTGTGCAATATGTTGCAAATCTATTAGCACAGATATATAATGTACAATATTAATCTGTCCTGGATCTAAAGCTGAAGAATTAGGGCTCTGAACAAATAAACCCTCAAAGATATTTGAAAAACAGGACAATTAAACATGAGAAAATAATGCCAAATAGGGCAGCTTATTAGAGGGTTATTTACATGCATGTCATCTCCAGCTTCCAACTCACTCAGCCAAGGAGATTTTAATTGCCATTAGAAACAAGAATCCTCCTTTAAGATGCCACCCACAGAAAACACAATCTTGGGAATCATCATATTTCCCCCTTCTGTTACACAGTAATATTGCCTTGACATTTTTGGCACAAACTTGACCCTTGAAGAGGACATGTAAGAACATACAACGGAAACTTGCACGTACTTCACAGATTTTGAGTACAAGCTATTGTTGGTCGCCTGGCTGGTATTCTCATTGCTTGAAGTTGATCCAAACTCTGGGAGTGCAGGCTCTGACCCAAACTCCAGAGCTCCAAATTGAACATTTAACCCCGTCACATCAGCTGATCCAGGCATCTCCACTGCAGAGGCAGGAATCTTCAAGAAAAAAGTCACAGTTCCTTCATATACCCTAGCTAAAGGTATACAAAAATAACACTCTCCCCTCCTTTAACTACAGGCTTATTCAATTACCACCTCAGTGCTTGCTGCTAACCACCCCAACCCTCCAATTTGCATCACAGATTTGGAGCTGAAAGAGTAAGCCATGCTGTTCTGTAATATGAACGTGTCACCCATGGTCATCCTCCTTCATCCAACTTCTATCTCGCAGACACCACTAAGTCAATCCAAAATCACTCAGAACAGTCATTTTCCACACAAAGTGATCAGTTATGTGCTTGGAAAAGACAACATCACTGTGTTTTGGACTGCAAACTCTCTAGCTTAGAATTTCCTCCTACAGAGACAAGGAACACACCACACATTTGCTCTCCTCCTCCCTAGTAACTTACAGCATCTGTTAATAGAGGACTAGCTCCTCCGAATTACACACCTTGGATGCCGGAGGTATCCTCCGCTTTTGTGGTTTCATCTGTTTCTGCTGGGTTTGATGGGCAGTCACTGCCTGGTTATCCAGGGAGATGCTGGGCAGCTGCAGCATTTTGCTAACAGCCGTCGAGGTGTCTACTGGCGATGGCTCTCGGAGCTTCACCTGGGAGGAGAAGGACTCCAGCCCTGGAGGAGGAACAGGGACTCCCTGCGTTTGTTGCTGCTGTCGTTGCGTCAGCTGGCTCAGAACTGGAGATGGTTCGGGCTGAGATTTAAAGTCTAGCCAGTATTTGGAAAAAGAAATACCAAAATGAAAGCATTAAAATCTCTTCTCAGAGCTTCTCTCTAAGTTGAGGATTAGGGGAGTGGGATGCTCAGCACAGTTTACAGCTGTGACATACTTTACTTGACACAGTTTACAACTACAGTTGTGTACCACCTCTTTCAGATATCATCACGAGTTTAATATTCAAAATAACTATTGCAATAAAGGCCAAAACCTCAATTTCCACACGTTAAAGTTTTTTTATTTAACTTTCTTTAAGAATATGATAACCTACATCTATTTTTATAGTCACATAGTATTATCACATAACAGGTCAAAAAGCTGTCATGGCTTTAGTCAAACACTGCAATTTTCACTACAGTTAACCATGCCTCTGAATTGTAGTTACTTTCAAAGGGTGTGCAGATGCCATTTAGAGGCATGAATTCAGATTTACGGGAGATTTTCAGCACAAGCAGGAGGTTATCTACTATTCTAGTCTGTCTGAAAATCAAGTGCTACTAGACATGGGTAGATTTTTTCCAATTTTTCTGTTTCCAAGTTTTCCAGCAGTTAAAGTCAAGCAGTAGTGAATAACCACAGGAGATCCACAGCACTTACAGTGTATAAGATTCGTATATTCGGTTGTTAAGTTGCACCAGAAAGTAACTTGAAATGTACATAAACATTTTAGCAGCATCACTGCATGCAAAAGATTATAACTTCTACCCATTTGGCTGCTTATCTATTTGGAAACATGCAGACATATACAACCACAAGATAAACATAAGACCTATCTCTCTTCACAGTGAGAGCACTGTCACAAGTGACAAGGCCTAAAAAAAATTCATGCCTTTTTTACCCATTTAACTTAATTTTATTCAACTAAATGAAAAATCAATACAGTTATGAAAAGACAAAATACATAACTGGCATCCTTCTCAGCAGGTGCAGACTTGCACATGACGGAAGAGCGCTGATATGTGATGCAAGTTATGAACAAAATGCTTACTGCAAATTCATGCAATTCCCTCAGTGGTTATGAGATAAAAAATGAAAAGTAGAAAGGCAAAATATGGCACCCAGCTAGAAGCAGTACAGAAAAATGACTGAACTGAGTATCCTTTACAATTTGTTGAAAAACAAAGTCGCATTAGATTTCCATTTATTTTTTAAGTATGTTAAAAGACACCACTAAATGTAAGCTTAACAATTTTTAAAGATGCACCGTTTCTACTGATAAGTTGAAATCCCTCAAAACTTTTTTTTGATAAATTCAGAGCATCATTATCAGCAAATAAGCACAGAGTTCTATGCCCCATCCAATTAAATTAAAAGTATATTATCAAAAGAAAAAGAAAAAAGGCATATAGCAAGTCCATTCCAAACTTACCAAACTTACCAAACTGACTAAGGACTGAGGACTGAGAAATGGGGGGCTTCAGATCCCAAGATGAGGTGGTAGTCGTGGTAGTGGTGGTAGAGCTACTGTTGTTTTGTTGAGAGGTAAACTGACCCAAACTTGGAGATTTCAACTGGTCCAAGATTTGAGATCCAGTAGAATTTGCCAATTTAGAGGATCCAAGTTCTCCAAAGCCAGAACAGAGAACTGCAGACTAGCAAAACACACACAGACACATACACACAGATAAGCATGCAGTAATTTGAAACATACTCTTAACATCAATGTCTACATTTGCTACTTGGCAACAGTTCAACCCTTTTCAGCTCTAGATTACTAACCAATTACCAACTGGAGTGAGCAAAGGAAGGCAAGTGAGTGTGTGACCATCTCAAGCCAGAAGAAGGGGCAAAGTGACCTAAGAAACAGGGTGGATGTCTCTCTCTATGGGGGAGACACCGAGGAGCAGGCTGTTTATGTATGTTGCATATATGTTTGTGTAGGTGCCTACTGGGAGACATTATCAGCCTTGCTACTGGTTGAACCTGGGATCATGCAGCTGCAGCTAACAGGTTTGGCCGCCCAACCTCACATGTACTAATAGCTCTAATTTGTTATTTGAGAAGCTATCAAGTATCCATTTCAAATCTCTGAAATAATTAAAGATGGGAAGCCACTTTTTTCACTCCAGAAAACTCAGAAATAGTTAGTTTTCCACAAAGAACAGTCAGATATGTGCTTGGAAATACCACATCATCGTTTTCTGGCACCGAATTTCACTTTATAAACAAACAATTTCATTCCAAATCATGATGCATTACACTCCTCCTTCATGTAATACCTTCATCAAGTACTTGGTGTAGATTATGAAAGAACATAGCAAAAACAGAAAAAGTCACGTATTCTACATTTTTGTGAGGATATCCTCAAACCAGTTCCCTTAGCATCTGCATCCCAAATTTTACAAATATTGAAACATCTCATGAACTAGCCATTACTGGAAGAGTCATTTGATCTGAAATATTTATGCTTCAAGCTGTGGAGTATTTAGAAACCGTAAGACAACTTTACCAGACTCTGAGGAGAATAGGAGTTTACAGCACCGGAGCTGCCAGTTCCTGATGCCATCTGGGTGCTATGCTGAGAGTTCGTAAAGACTAGGGCTTGGCCAAAGGTCTGCTGCTGGGGAGCCTCAAACGAGTTGCCTTCTGTCTCCTGGGTGGAAGTCACAGGCTTTTGAAGCAGTGTTACCAAATCAATGCTGTAAGAAAAAGCCAAGTTTAGCTAGACTAAAAATGACAATTGTGCAGTATTGATATTGAAGAAGGCACTAAGAGTATCTAGAACCTGCCATAGTCAAAATGGAAGCAAGTCTTCATGCATCATACTTGGCTACCTACCATACAAGAACTCTCCATATGACATGATGGAATAGAAGTTTCTTCTAGAAAGGGAAATTCTGCTGAGACTTTCCACTATATCGAGAAACAAACTGTTTTTTGCACTYTCCCTCAAATCTGATTAGATTCTACCACATCATGCCTCATTGTAAGCATTGTAAATATGCTTAATGTAAGCATGTAACTGAAACAACAGATAAAAAGTATCATACTTAAGTGAATTCTACCCGCCAGAATCATGTGTTTCAATAATCCACATCCCCTGTACATCACACAATTCTTCTACAAGGAATAAGGGATCAAAGGCCTATCCCTGTAGAAGGTGGGCATGAGGATGGTAATGGATAAAATTATGCAAGCAGCAGTTGAGTGACGGCCTGATGCAAGCTGCACGACCAAGTTGTTTCTCAGATTGTAGGCACATATTCAAAATTGCTTTAACACACATAAGGAGAGTAAGAAACACGTATTTTGGTATATTTAACACGGCGTTTTACCATGTGACATATTTAAACAGAGGTTTAGCCGAGCACTCCTACAATAAAAACAAACTCCTAAAAAAATCTGACTGAGGCTTGTCCCAAATACACTGCAAGCTTAAACTGAAGAGCTGCTTTTTAGCACTTTTACTACTATGGATAACATATACCAGATATATCGATCAGATACTGAAACAAGCATTCAAAAAGTTTCTTTCGGAAAGGGGAAAAAATAGGGAAAAATAGCTAGAATTAAAGTTATAAACTACAAAGTTTTCTTAAACAATTTGAGGGACATGCACTTGAGAAAGTATTTACATCAGCACTAATGCAAAGCACTTTTAGGAAGTAAAAGAACATAGACTCTATAGCAACTGACTCCATTCTGCCTCCAAGTCCCACCCGTGTTGTAAGTGAAGTTTACTGTACTCTTAAGCATAGCAACAAAGCTCCGTCAAGATGCTTGGGAGCATTAAGGCCATCTAGTTTTCAGATATCCTGCTTTCTGACTAATTAGGTAACCTTAATGACCATCAGGAAATTTGCCTTCTTGCTAATGCAAGCTCTTCTATCATTATATTTGTCATATATAGAGGTGTTTGTGTAAAAGACACACTCTCTGGAATATTATCCTCACGGATTTGACAACCTTGGCTCCACATCCAAAGTCAAATTCAAGTAACATAAGATCACAGAGAACCAGCTATTTCCAAGCAAGGCTTCCACAATTTTAAAATCAGCTTCAGCAATCTGACCAAGACTGTTCTGRCTGTGTTTTATTCAACCTATATTTTAATGCATGCAAACTAAATGAAGTATTTTTAAACATAGAGGAAGAGATGKAAGAGCATCTTACCTTTGCCCAGGAGTAACATGATTCTCAGCTGGAACAGAGGAAGCAGTAAAGACCTTCGTTTCAGAAAGCTAAAAGAAAGAGTAAGAGTGTTTTAACCATATGTATGCTGACAACATCTGCTTCAAATCACCTGCATCACTGCTGCAGTGTCTACAGAAATTCCATCTTGGTCACGTACTTTCAGATAACTGTAATGCCACTCTACCACAACCAGTCATGAAAACTGCCAATACAACCATTAAAAACACAAGAAAAAAAATAGTCTAACAAATTATTTCCCATAGAAACACAGACCAAGTTAACTAATATGTTGCAAAATTTAATTTATTGAACACGCTAGTGTAACCATACCAGTTTGGGCAACCGTCTAAGGGAAGATTATATTAATAGAAATTAACTAACGTGACAGCAAATACATTCTCAATGTAAGTACAGCTTAGATAGACATAGCTTAGGATTCAGCAGAGCTCTGATAAATGCTGTTCAGAAGTCTAGCAYATGGCACCACTCCTGGTCATTCATTTCATCTATACCTTTGTTTTACTCTTCAGCTCACATCACCCTTCTGATACAACAGGAAAGAGTAACTTGCAGAGGTATTGGCTGTTGGGGAATTAAGGACATTTTGGGGGGGGTTGTTTGTTTTTAAACAGCTTGTCTGAACAACTGAGTTAAGCAGCTGCAACTTCCTAGCATCTATTCCCTTCTTTTGACAAGAATACTTGTAACTAGAAAGGCTCTTAAACTTGGGCTTAATTTAACAATACRAATAGATGTATATGTAGTGGTCATAGTTGAAATCAAATTTGCACATTAAGATCCTTAACCTTACGGTAGTTCTGCATGAATCAAAGAATGTCTGACCTATTTAGTTAAAAAACAAAAAAGTGATACTTGAATATAACTCTTGCAGGAAATCCTGCATTTTTAATTGCATGCACTGGTGGCAGCACATCTTATAGGACATCAAGGACACAAGCTAACTTGATCTGGCATCCCATGGGCAGCTCCACTGAAAGCCCACATATACCCAAACACATTCAGCTGACTGGGAACACTGCTGACTTAACAAGGACACAGCAGGGCTGACTGAGAGCAGTCACTGAGCACTCCAGAGAAATCGTTCAAGCCCTGTTACACAAACAGCAATAAACAGAGAAGCAAGGGAAATCTCACGTACTTTGCTGGCATCCACCTACACTCAAAACTCACAAAAAATGAAATGTGCCACAGTTCCTTCTTCCATTTCCTCCCCATTCCCTGCTACSAATGCACGTTTTCATCTTAAAACCAAGATGAAACCAATATTTCCAGCTCTGGGAATACTGCTGCATGTCTGCAACACCAAAAAACTAAGAAATCTCAACTCACGTTTATTTGCAAGAAAAAAGGCTCTCTCTGTTGCTTGGTCCCTTTCCCACATGTTATTTTAGAGCAAGCTGCATCAGCAGCATCATGAGCTCCCTGCGTTACACAGTTCACGGGCGTCAGCTAATGGCAGAGTGGCAGCCTCCGGTCTGCAGTCCCATGGTTAAATATGAAATTCCTTGCAATGCCAAGAGTTTCTCACAGTCACCTGACCCAGAATAAGCCCAGCAGTAGCTGAAACACCAATGAACCCTGAAAACCAGCAAATCAGGGAAATGGAGGATGTTCATGACAACCCAAAAGCTCCAAGTACAAGGGAGGAATCCTGAAACACCTGGCACACAAAGTCTCCAGCTACCAAGCTCCGCTACACTCAGATTTAAGTCATACACTGYGGCAAACACTGCCACAAGCTCAAATCAAGTTACAAAATCTGCTTTATGGTTTTGGCCATAATTTATGGTTTATGGTATCTGACATAATACCTGCAGCACCTGGAAAGTAGCTACACAGATGGAGCCACTGTTTCTTAGCAGGAGTATCATCATCTCCGAGAAAACTGGTTGTACTAACCATACGTTTTACTTGAATCTTTCACTTGGGAATGGCCTTACCTACATCTTTCAGCTCTTGTGCCAAGGGTAAAACCCTTCTCCAAGCAGCACACAGATAACACAGCTAACAACTAGCTACCATCTCCCACGGACAGTTGACATGAGATGTGAGCAGACAAAAAATATACTCAAGCATCCCGATAAGAAGCAACATTAACAAAACAGAAACAACAAGGCCTTACTACGATTTTTGTTATCAAACACTGAARTTAAAAAATAAAAAACCCAAAGTTTCATACTGCTTTCGGGTAAAAGAAACACTTAACTAAAGCATACTTTCAATATTTTTATGTGTTACTGTTGCTTCAAATAAAAGCTAAAACTACCGTATTGTTCAGGAAACGGATGCCTTTATCCCCTTTCCAGCAATTTGTATGAGTTCTATTTCTCCTCTGTTGACAGTTTCTGCAGCTAAAGTGTAGTTTCTTTAGATGAGAGAGAATGATCACAAATTTAATAGGAAAACACAAAGCTGTTCATATCACCTCAAAATGTATCTGTTCCTTCACCGTCCAAACCTGAACACCCCTTTAACAAAATGCAGCCTCCAATTTTTAAACGGCAAGTAGTTACTCACTATTTAACAATATGCTGAGAAACAGTGATAGCTGTTTAATACAGGATTATTAGATTACAAAAAATCTAATCCTTCCCAGGACAAATAAATAAAACTACACACCCAGCTGCTCATATACTTAACTAGGAAATTTTTATCTGGCCGGAGAACAATACTTTTAACTAAAAATATTCTTTGGAAAAGCACTTGATCTTTATTTGCAGTCAGAAAATACTTTAGCTTCCATATTCATTTCAATGGCCTCAAAGGCTTACTGTCCTCTCTAATTTATTTTCACTGTCCCCTATAACCCTGAAATCTTTCAGTTGACACTTTCCAAAAAATAGCCCCTTGTTCTGTAACTAAGAAAACTAAGGTTGCACAGAAAAGAAATACACGCTCAGCCAAATCAAAACACTTTTCACTAGAACTGGCCAAGTCTAGCAGGAGTTCCAGATTTCTCTGCGTGATAAGCTTGCTTTTATTCTCCATTCCAACAATTTTTGCATTTCCCACACGTTTTATCCAGCAGTGACTTTAAGTTTCCTTCCACATCACTTCTGCACACTGGATGGCAGCTGGTCTAGCGCGGGATTGCCCCGCAGCCCTCGTGCAAGTGTCCACAGGGCTCCTCCTGAAAGAGACCCGCTGAAATCTGAAAGTCAGATCTGAACCCACCCGTGTGTTTTGTGACATTATGCTGCCAAAAAACAGCACACAAAAAAGCTGCAAGATCAACTGTCATAGGAGGCCATATTCTATCATCACAGTTAATTCATAATTTACTTAAAGATGAAGAACAATTTGAGGCAACTCTTTTTTTCCATACAACTCCACTTAGTGGAACAAACTGCATTCCTAAACTCCTTTTATTTTTTATTTTTTTTTAAATCAGATGAATCATTTTTTCCTTTATTTTTCCCCAGACAGGTAGGTTAGGTTTGGGGTTTTGCAGGGGTTTGTTTGTTTGTTTGTTTTTATTTATTTATTTTTTTCTTTTCCCCCCAGCTCTCCATTTCACTCACTCTTTCTGAGCATTAGCACACCAACCCTTTCTTCTAGGTTTCACGGATGTTTTAAAGCATTCCAGAAGTAATAAAAACTAATGACAGGCTAAAGATTTCATTTGTCGCTCACTTAAAATTCATATGCAAATTACCCAAATCTATTAATTAAAAAAAACTAGATAAATAAATCCATCTTTAATCAGCATTGCTCAATATACCTCCTATGCTGTAGCTGCTGTACCATAGCAGCACCAAACACACTAGTGAAATTAGATATTTCCCTATCCTTAGCAAGCCAGAAATAGAGGGCAGATCTGGAACTAGCATCAGAAGCTGGCATCTTAACTGGTACTGGAAATAGAATGAATTCTAAAATGTTACCTATTTCCTCCAAACCCACACCTTCCTGAACACCTAAGACACAGTTTTTTGGCTCTGTTATACCAGGACATTCACACATTTCTAGGCATAACAGTGATGTGGCACCCTACATGGGAAAGCAAGAGTTTTCAGATAATCTCCTACTTAAAGCTGTTCCTACAAAAGATGAACAGCGTTTTTAATACTATGTTTTCCTTTCCACACTTGCTTGTTACCTGATTTGTTGCCTAACCTGTTTAGGCTCAATGATTTGATACAGCAGACTGAATGGCAACTTAAAAACACAAACATTTAAATAATAAATTAAATATGCCAAGTACTTTGCAGACATAAAGATGTTTCATCTGTTAAAGAGCTATAATAAAGACTGCTCTAGYGCTTCAGACAACACATCACAATGAAATGAAAGGAAGGAACTAAGTGATAACTTCATACTACTAACTCCCTTTCTAATCTTCCGAACATGAAGAGGGCTGATTGAAACAGTTACACACATTTCAAGCACATTGATCAAATGATGAGGCTAAACTTGTCAGTAAAAAGTACTACAAATTATTTTCATAAAAATCGTGGGATAGTTGATGTCTCCACACAGTACTAGGAAAAGTATGGAATTAACACTCATCAGTATTCAGCAACACAACTGTAAGTCCTTCATACTTAATGTGGGACACAACTTAAAATGTTATTATACATTAATAGTTCACCCACCAGAATAAATGAGTATTTTTAAATTTAATTCAAAAGAGTACGATTACATAAATATATATTGTTTTCAACAAGAACTGCCAGGAAAAAAATGYTAAGTAGTATCATTGCATACATACAGCACAGTACTATTTAGGTCATTGAATTTCTGAAGACAACATAGACTCTTAAAAAAAAGGAAGCAATGAATGCTGTCTATCCTCTGAGGTACACTTACATCTTCATTCCAGTCTTCTGCTGTCCATTCTTCTATTGAATTCTTCCATGCACCTATTGTAATTTGGGGAAGGAGAGAAAAGCAGTTAAAAACTGAATACATCGTATTTCAACCTTTCTGCATTAAAAGCCATCCCGTTCTTATTATCAGTGGTACACAATGCAAGGAAGATGGTAGTTGAAAATATGGAAAGTCTTGACAACTGGTCTGCAGTTTTAAAATTTTGAAATGTTTTTTTCTTAAGCTTTATTTATGATTTCAGGAACTTCTTAGCCAGTATTAGTAGCAGACATTGCTTACACAAACATGTCTGCAACAAGAGCRATCAACACCAAACTTGGGCAAGGATTTCCTCCATAGACCCATCCACAATGACAGTGAAAGGTCACCCAACCCTCCTCCTGGCTCTTCAAGATCCAGTCCAGAGTCAAATCAAAACAAAACCAGAACGTCTGCACCAACTTCCACAATCCTACTTTTGGATATACTTAAATTTGAGCCCCCAGCTCTACCTCTTGAAGCTTCTTCCCAACATGCTAACCCTCTTCTCAGAGAGGAACAACCCCCATTCTTTCCCCTCTGGTAGGACAATCTGATTTTAAAGCATATGTAGAAACCAGAGAGCACCACAAGAGTCTGGGCTGCCACCGTAACAGCAAAACGCCGCTCCCCGTAACGCGTGGCGGAGCCGAGGTGGCAAAGAGCAGAGCGCAGCGTAGACTTCAGCATGCAGCAGCAGTGGCAAAATGATAGGAAACCAATCTGAAGCTTTAATAACCTGATCCCTTCCAGAGGGGCAGCAGAAAGGGACATGCAAGAGGAACAAATGGTCTGAAGGCCTCATCTACCAGCGTAAGCACGAGTAAGGATATTCCAGCAAAAAAACAGGGCTTCCATTAATCTCTATAACCACAAGCAAGGAAAACACCAGCAATGAGGTATCTTGTACCATCACCTTTCATCAAGTACAAAAGCAAAGAGGAACCACTTTAATCACACCCTTTTATTTAACTAGGAACCCTTGGAAGCAGAATCATTCAGGAAGAAAGGCCCCTGAAGACAGCACCAAGTCCAGTCCATGTTAAACTAATCACTAAATTAGTGCAATCTTCTGTACATTTTACAAAGCAGCATCTAGGCCAGAGTAGGGTTGATGGCACTAATCCAGTGAACCCAACAAGCCTACCACAAGGACAATACACAGAGAGGGGAAAGGGGACAGATTTTATACCTTGGAATCCAAAATTATTTGGCAGGTCCTGAGCAAGGTAACATCCACTCTGTGTTGGCTCTGTGGAGCAATATAAAATGGCCTGAAACATGTTTTTGTGCTCACCAAATAGCCCCTAGCTAAGAGCTTTCTACACGCTGCAAAACATTGAGGCGCTGTTAAAAATAATAGTAATTTTGGCATGCTCAGATATAATAACCATGCCTCGAATTTCTAGTCTTACCCACATGTTTCTATAGATATTTTGGAAAGGAAGAAGAGCCAAATGAGCTCTGGGACACAAAGYAGCCCGAAGCAAAACAAGCCTAACTCCTGAGTATCCCCCTCCAGCTTTGGAAGGTTGGAATCTGCATGGGATAAGGGCCTGGGACACCTCCGTRCCATTCCATTTCAAGATTGATCCTACTTTCCAAAACACCTCCCCACTTAATTCTTTTCAAATACTGAACACAACCCCTTATTCTTCTATTAGCTTCTCCAAGTTGTTAAGTTTATTGGTATRGTTTATCCACACCCTAAGCTTCTAAAGCCAACGCTTCCAGTCTCAATTGTTTCACTGCTTTTCTCTGAACTAAATCCAATTTACTAACATCTTGCTAAAACTGAAAGGAGTCCAAGACCGATCTCGCCACAAGCAAAACAGCTTCCTTTTTGCCCCAAATCCACTTTGGCTTTGTTGTAAGCCCACTTATTCTTCTCCCTACCTTTACCTGCAGGTCTGGCCAGAAAACACTGTTTATCCAGTTCTGTTTTCCAGCAAAATCATGCTTTGTTTTCTAGTATGTGTATCACACCAGCTTCAAACTAGACTTCCATCTATAATTGTCACCTTTTTTTTCTGCAAAACCAAATTAATTCATCTGAAGAGAGTCATAAAGCCAATAAAAACTGTACTATATGCTCTCAGTATAGCTTAACCATCTTCCTCCAATCTCTTATTCCAATGAAATCTTTGGATTTTTTCTTTCCCCCTCTTCTAAATTATTCCCCATTTATCCCCCTGAAAATTCTTTTTTAACTTGGTCTATGCCAAACTTATGTGCTAATCTTATCGATCACATCCACAATAATGGAATAATCTGAAGGTTTCCTTAGAATGTTTCTTCCAAACTAAACACCAGTCCTAAAACAAATAACTACTTACAGCTTCCAAGCACACAATTCCCTTCCTCTGCCTTGACAAGATGAATTATGACTTATTTTTTCTTGCTTGTCATTCTTCAAAGTAATGTAAGGCTGTTCATAACCAAGCTAACAGGAACTAAACTTTATTGTGAAAATTATGAAATAGTACCAAAGTAGAGATACAGTAAATTATCAGAATGCATATTTTCATAATCTGATTTGAGATGTGACCACCTCCATAACTTCTGTTATAGAAACAGATGCAATTTCAGGATCCTCCATTGCCTTGTACATTATGAAGAAGGCAAGAGAAGGAATACACTGCATGCCTGTAAAAATAATATCAAACATGCTGTTCAAGCTTATTCCTTCTCAGAAATGGAACTTCTTTGCCACAGAACTGTATATTTCTACCATAAAAAAAAAAAAAGAGAAAGACATAGGGAAATCAATGGTAAGTTATTTGGAATAAAGGTACACTTAAATTATATCAACCAGATTTCACCTTTTCCTCCTCTTTTATTCCAACATTAAATTTTAGTCACACAGAACCACTGAAACTTTCTATAGAATTCATCATGATGCTTCTAGAAAAGCTTTTCGTTTAACCTCCTACAATTCTTCTGGCATCTGTAACAATTCATGACAAGATGTTTTAGAGTCTTTTCAGAGAAGACAAGAGAACAAATGAATTGGAGAAACAAAAGGATTCTGGGGTTTTTTTTTTGAAAAAAATTTTGAAGCTGGACCTCTCCAAGCACCAACTTGGAGAGGAAATACTTATAAAATATTCTGAATTGCAGAGCTATGGAGAGTTTAGATTTGAGTGAAGTCTTCATAAAACATTCAACACGGATAACTAGTTTAGCCTTCCTCCAGGTAGCTGCCTGGTATCTCCTTCTTAATGCAAGTGCAAATGAAAGACACTAATTCCCCAGCTCCTGTAGGTACAGTGCACTGATTCTGTTGGTTTCTTTACAGATGAAAGAAGAAAAGAGGCTGGGAAGTGGCTGGAAAAACAAGAGAGGGATTTCCCTCCTGTGCTTCTGTGCATAGTCTTATTTTACACCCTTCAACATCCTAACTGSAGGTAGTATGAATTTTGAGGCAGACATATCCCTCCTCATTCACATCTTTGGCAACTCTACATTGGAAACTTCTTTATTACTAGGTCTGTTGATTTGTAACAAGCAAAACAGCATCACAACTGAAGAGGATAAAAATAAAAAAAAAAAGGACTTGTTATTAAAAAGACAAATCAACAGCTCTACTTTGTACCTTTTGCTTCCAACCCCACACACTGTCTCCTGCTGCTTCCCCCAACATCTATTTCCCTTTTCCAATCCCATCTCTGCCCCAATACCCTCTCCTGCTTGACAACTCCTGTCCCAGCAACCTCCACTCTGAAAACACTCAAAGTCTTTAAGAAAGAATGGAAAGTCATTTCTTTCCATTCCAAAGTTGAAAGTGCTTCCCCCTTGGATAAAACTGATAAAGCCCAGAACTAATAAACAAATCTGTTTTTGTTGGTTTAGGGACTTGTTCCTTATGTTCTTAGGGCATGTCTAAAGAAAAAAACACTCTAAAATAAACCTCTCTCCCTATATTAATATACACAGATGTTTGTTTTACCACAGACCGTGTTCTTCCATTTTAATTCAAACTAAATTGAGAGGGAAAGGGTACTTAGCACCCAAACAGAACATTCCCAAACTAACTAGGCTTACTTCAAATACCCATCAACAAAATTATTCTGGAGAAAATTTCCCATGCAGACAAATTTGTACCYTAAGCCTCAATCCAATGGAGCCAGGGCAAACTCCAGCATGTGCTTTCTCACACATTCTCTGCACCACACTTAGCAGCTTTGTACAAACACCTTAAGTTGCTTCATCAAAACTCAGTGTACGTAAGCAATAGGCACTGGSCCTAACAGCAAAAAGGTATTTAGCCTCCAAATAGAACATCCACCCATTAACTAGAGAGCCTTGAATTTTAACCAATCTAGTTGCTCTAGAGCAAACCTCTCATGTAGACGCACTCATTCATACTCTCAAGGATAGTTTAGCCATAGCCAACTATTCCTACTCCTCGGTCGGATACTTTGTTAATGAGGTCTGAGAAATGGCATACAAGAGGGAAGGGAAGCTGCAACAGGGGAGGCAAATGAAGGCTACACATTGTGAGCAGGAAGAGTCACAAACATTCAGGTTGACTTTAGGAATGTAGCACAAGTGGTTTGTAAAACACAGTCTTAAAGCCGTGTTCATTAATAATTAACTGAGAAATACTCTACACCTCTGTTGCAGTCCCCTTCATTTTCTTTTTCCCCTCTCTGTAGTCGATTAATCTCATTGCTTCTGTAAAACCTGCGACAACGGACCCTGCCACGCATTGCTATATAGCGAGCACCAGCAAGCTGTATTCACGGAGGAAGTGTCAATTCAATAAATAATCTCCCAACTCCTTATCTGATAAACTTATTTGGAAAACCAACATGACTCAGAGTGAAAGTGCAGTTTTGTTTGCTATACCCTAAGTCCCTTCAAAAGTAATGCCTTGGAAAGATGCTGTATTTGGCACAAGAGCTCCTTTTCAATAGCCCTTAATTTACTCAGTGCCACTCAGCCACACTGAACTACAGGGCAGAGTGATAAGGTCTCAAAACTCTGAACCTGTTATTGTCTTCTCCAGTTAAGTGAAAAACAGCTTTGACAGAGTTTAGAAAGCTGCACCTCAAGAGGTTCACAGTAGGAGTCAATGAAGCTGAAATATTCCACCCAAGACACACCAGCCTTCAGTATCAGTTCTTTCCTTACAACTTGATTCACACACAAAAAAAATAAATAAATAAATTGTGGAAACCATTTCAGTAGACTTCAGAACCTGAYGAAGAGATCAGACAAGACATCCTCTATTTGGAGGGTGGAAGGCGAAAGCCAYCTGTCCTGTCACTTGGTGGTTCCCAAGTGTGGACAAGAACAACAACAAATCTCCATCCTGTCTCCATCCTTCGTCTTCACCTGCGGTCGCAGAATACAGAGGGCAGCCATCTCTGCAGTTGTTTTTCCAAGTCACAGATCCAGTTGTTTTTCCAAATCACAGGAAAGCAGGTCACAGTCTTCATTTCTGAGTCACCACATACGACCAGTGTTAAGTGTTTCCTTTTCAGACTAATGTCTGTTGCCTTCAGGCTGGATGACATACTTCACCCTTGACACTTCATACAGAAACACCCAGTCACCTCCATCTTCAGACAGGCAGACTGTTCTTTTGGCTTCTGCCCAAGTGCCTCCTCATGCTTAGTTAATAATTCCTCTCTTCAAAGGTGTCAGATCTTGGAACTCCATCTCCCTTCTCAGGTACTCACATCCTTACATTGCTACACYGTACAGGTGGGACTTGTAAAGATATCTCAGTGTCACTGAGTGGATTCACATTTACAAATAGTTTTCAGAGGTTTACTCTGACATTTGGACCCCATTGKGACCATTGGCCTTGGGACCAGTCATTTGAGGACCAATCACTTTGAGTGATCTAAATGTTGCACATAAAAGGTTCTTCCAGCTCCCCTTTGAATACTTTTCTCAAAGAACTATTAATACTAAAACAACTTAAAAAAAAAAAAAAAAAGTGTTTTGGCTTCATTGAACCAGAGCCACTAAGGCCAGAGTATATGTTCAGCACGTCAGCAGCAGGAAGCTAAAAAAATGATCTAATATTTGTGCCAGGTGAGATGTTTTCACATTTTCAGAAGTTAACACTAACAGAATGCTACTTTAACTATAATTTGCTATAGGTCTTCATTCCAATCCTTCTACTTCTTGAAACATCTTACCAGTTCCATCATCTGCATCATTCTGACCAGTCTCCCAAATCTCAGATTTTGTCCCAAAGCCATCAGTGGCAGAAGACTCCGTATAGTCTGCAGGGTTAAATGTCCTAGAGTTTTAAAAGTTAAGAAATGGAAGAGAACACATGGGTCATTCAATTAACATAAGTGGCATGATTTTCAGCTGAAGTCGCATTAGATTTAACATCTTGATTTCCACATATATTTTAGTCATTGGTTTTAAAAACATCTTCTATGAGTAATAACTAATGAAAAAGGAAAAAGGAGAAAAGAAGGAAGAAGAGAAAAAGTCAGGAGAAACTTTTTTAAAAAATTGCTGTAGAGAAACTGAACAAAACCAGGAATTCCTGAAAAAAAAAAAAATAGTAGCAGCATATTTACTTCTCCCACTCTACTAAGACATTAGTCTATAGGCAAAATATTAAGCCTCTCAGCTGATAGTTTCTCAGCARGCAACTGACTGATGAGAAACCAGAATCGGGTACTTTGAGGACCAGACTTCTGCAGGACAAGAGTTGGAACATTGGTAAGATTATTTCAGAAGCACTCCGGACACCAAACCAAAACCAGATTCACCTAAAAGATGAAAAAGGATTTCTAAAGAAAAACAAAACATCAACAAAAACCCCACACTTCTCAGGTTATAAGATAGCAGTGTGAAAAAGAAGGCTTATTAGGGGGGTAGAATGAGCCTTCCATTCATCATGACACTCGTGGTATCATATGAAATGCCACTGAGAGCAGCACTGAGTAAATAAACACAGGGGAGGCTACACTTCTCTGAAGCAAATTCTTCTGACAGAACTGAAATATCATAATTGCTTCTGAGTAACTTCTTTTAATTCTATATTAGGGTGCATGTATGTCCAAATACCTTAAAGCTTAAAACCTCAAAAACAAGGGAAAGTTTAAGATGACTACTCTTCTGGTCTTAGTTAGGATTTGCATCCTCTATGTTACACTGGACCAAACCTCTTTAATTAACCTGGAACAAGCACCACAGAGAACTTTCAGCCTCCTGGGCATCTGTGAAACTTAATAACTCAATATGACYGTTACTGCTAGATATAAATGAGTTACGTTTGACATATGAACATCAAGTGAACTTATGTTAGGCTTGTATATGGTGTGTCTAGTTATAAATGCAGGCTTAAGACAAAAATATCCCATCATCTACAAGATCTGTGAATTTTTGCAACCATGTTACTTTACCATAAGTACAGAGTTCTTAATAGATACAATGGCAACTAACATTGCCACTGAGTTTGGTCTTTGATCCTCCCCAAGTTCTGTGCTCTGCATGTTTCTTACCCCATGCCTTGGGCTGAAAACCTCCCCGCTCCTCTCCCTCTGCCACGTCCAAAGCCTAGGAGAGAAAACACCATTTAACAGCAAGAGCAGAGAAGGACCCACCTGCTAGTCTTGCTAGCACATTAAAAAATGCTATGATTGAATAAGAAATTTAGGATACATGTTTCAGTAGGACTCAAAACCTTTGGTATCTTTTCTATACCTAGTACAGTAGAAGCTCAAACACTAAAAAAAAGAACTTAAAGCCTCATCCCAAACTAATATGCGACACAGCTGTTGCAAAATTACTGGCTATGACATGACAATGTCTCCAATTTCTCATTTAGGGCAGCAAGACCCCAAAATCCCAACCTACTTGTGTACTTAGGTCTCTCAAGGAGCTTCCTTTTGCTCCTTGTCTTGTCRAACGAACACAGGTGTCCATATCCCATTTATGTTTTTTTCTCACCAGGATTCACTGCCCACCCCTACCTCCTGCACATTCTTCAAGCTACTACCACACAATTCCTTGCATTCAATCCTATTGACTGACAGGACTATTAACCAACTTAAATTATGCAAATTTGTAAGACTCCCTTATCACCACACAAAACATTCATTTCTGTTTAAACACAACAAAGTATTTTCTCACTGTCCCCAATTTTGATACCAGACTCTGTTTACAAGCTTCTTGCTATAGAGAATAGCTTTATTTTTGTATGTATGTATTTTGTATGCACCAACAAGGCATTCAAATTTTTGTATTATTTAACCATCAATAAAGCACACTTCTGCATAAACTTTTAGAAATTCTTACGTGCAGTATTTTTCTACCCAGACCTCTTTCCATTTTATGTTATCAATATYTGAAGTTACTCAAGTTTCTTTTTTCTTTTTATTTTAGCTTGGGKTTTTTTTGTGGTTAAAAAACCCCACATTTTGCATTACAGAACAGGAGCAGATGAAGAGCTGCAAACAGAGATCAAART